AGCAGGGCTGATGGGGGAGATTGGTGGGGGGTGGGGGGAACTGGCCGCTGGAAGCAGAGCTGGACAGGGGCAGTAGGGCTTGACTGGGAGATCGGGAGGAGAAGGGGGGAGGGGAGTGGGACTGACCTGGGCACATGCAGACCCTGGCAGACGAGTGAGTCTGCCTGGGGGTTCCATTTTGCCCCTCCCTCCCACCCCGACATACCCTCTCTCGAGTAGTTGCGAGGGGGGTGGGGGGAACTGGCCGCTGGAAGCAGAGCTGGACAGGGGCAGTAGGGCTTGACTGGGAGATCGGGAGGAGAAGGGGGGAGGGGAGTGGGACTGACCTGGGCACATGCAGACCCTGGCAGACGAGTGAGTCTGCCTGGGGGTTCCATTTTGCCCCTCCCTCCCACCCCGACATACCCTCTCTCGAGTAGTTGCGAACTGCCTGGCAGGTAGACACACTCAGGCAGCGTGAGCACATCTACCAGCCAGGCAGTTCGCAGCTAAGGGCTGATACACCTAATTAAAATAAAGCTTACCTAATTAGAAATTTCTCAATTTGTTTCTCAGACAAAACCCTCAAATACCGGACTGTCAGGTAAAAAACCGGACACCTGGCAACCCTACCCTTTCTTGCACCCTCCTTCCTAGACAGCTACCCTACCCCCAGTCTGCTCCTGCTCCCACCTCCTGGAGTGCCCATGCGGTGCCAGGTCCTCCAAGCCCTGGCCCAGGCTGGGCAGAGGATGCAGCCAGGTGAAAACTGAAAATGTATTCATTTTTCATTCTTTTTTAATATGTGTTTATATTTTTGGGCTGCAAAAAACAGTACTAAAAAAACCCAGATTCCAACTAAAGTAAAAAGTTTGGGAAACCCTGATCTAGCCAGCTTTCTATCCATCTTACAGTCCATTTATCCAATCCATATTCCCTTAACTTGCTGGCAAGAATATTGTGGGTGACTATATCAAAAGCTTTGCTAACGCTGGCACTGGGGGCTTTGGGAGGACCAGAAAACTTATTTGAATATTCATCATTTACTTAATGAATATGCAAATAAATGTTACTGGTCCTCCAAAAGCTCGTGAATGGATTTACTGGTCCCCGTGTCAAAAAGTTTGGGAACCCCTGATATATAGATATATATATATATAGCAGCCCAACGTCTGTGACTCCGTAACGCTGAAACTCTGGCTGTTCCCTCTGGGCAGTACTGTTGCCTCCCACCATGGTGCTTGGCTGACTTCTGCGCCGCTCAGCTGGGCTGGGGATTAAGCGGCGCAAGCGGCCATTTGGGGTCCGCGCTCCCCACACAGCACACGGTGGCCCAGCTGAGCGGCGCAGAAGTCAGCCGAGCGCCACGGCGGGAGGCAAAGGGGGGGAGGGCGGTGACGTACACGGCCAGAGGGCAGATCCTGGAGCCTCCGTCGTGTCCTTACTGTGCTGACGTCTGGTCCAACCGGCCCGGGAGGGAGGCGCGGGCTGGAGGATCACAAGCAGCTGCACAGCCAGCTGGAGAGAAGCGGTGCTTTTAAGACGAAAGTGCCACTTCTCTCTAGCCCCCTGCTCAGTCCTCCAGTCAGCACCTGTGAGTGGGGGCTGGGCTCTGAGCCTGGCCAGGTGTAGGGCAGGGGAACAAGGGGGTGGGGGAGGACAACTGGGAGGCTGCAGGATGGAGCCTCCGTCGTGTCCTTACTGTGCTGACGTCTGGTCCAACCGGCCCGGGAGGGAGGTGCGGGCTGGAGGAGCACAAGCAGCTGCACAGCCAGCTGGAGAGAAGCGGTGCTTTTAAGACGAAAGTGCCACTTCTCTCTAGCCCCCTGCTCCATGGCTGCCCCCTGCTCAGTCCTCCAGTCAGCACCTGTGAGTGGGGGCTGGGCACTGAGCCTGGCCGGGTGTAGGGCAGGGGAACAAGGGGGTGGGGGAGGACAACTGGGAGGCTGCAGGATCAGTGCTGGGGTGAAGGGAAACGGTGCAGGGGGGCACCTGGAGCTCATAGGCAGCCGCTCAGCCGGGATGCCACGCGGGAGCAAGCAGCACAAAAAGCAGGAGGAGGGGGGGAGAGAGAGGCAGGAGAAGGAGGAGAAGAGAGAATGAGAGACAGGAGGGGGAGAAGAGAAAGAGACAGGCAGGAGATGGAGAAGAGCTGAGGGGGTGGGGGAGGCAGTAGGAGAAAGGGAGAGAGAGAGAGAGAGACGGGAGGCTCAGGAGAGAAGACCAAGATAGAAAGGGAATAGGACGTGGAGGAGAGACCTGAAAATCCCATTTTATGATGGGCTAATTGGCTAGTTTCTGTAGATTTAAGACAGAACTTTACTGTTAATTAAATACAGTGGTCTTAATCATACTTGCAGCTACACTTGTGGAACTCCCACTGATCTGAACAGAAGAGGTGCTTGCTTACCTGAAGGCCATTGTTTGGAATTTAAACAGTTTCAGAGTAAGATTCTAACCATCAAATATTTTTGTTGAAGGATTAAGAAAGTTTCAAACTAGTAATTTTTATTGTTTAAAAAATGTTGCTGTTTTAACAGCTCTTTTCAGCATCCTGTTAATATTACCATACAATGTTCAATAGGGACAGGACTTCACCTTAGGAGTTAAGATGTTTTTGTAAAAGTGACAAGGAGTCCTGTGGCATCTTATAGATTAACAGACGTATTGGAGCATAAGCTTTCATGGGCAAAGACCCACTTCGTCAGTTGCATCTGACGAAGTGGGTCTTTGCCCACAAAAGGTTATGCTCCAATACATCTGTTAGTCCATAAGGTGCTACAGGACTCCTTGTCACTTTCGCAGATCCAGACTAACACGGCTAACCCTCTGACACCTTGTAATAGATAATGATACTAATTAATAATGCTCATGAAAGGTGGAAGATACACAACCCAGGAGAATGAAATCCACGTTATCTAAAGAATAGATAACAGCAAATTTCTTTCCTTCTGCCACTATGCCGCAGTAATGACAGTTTCCAGCCAAAAGTAGTTTAGCTTCAATATGCATCCTCAAGCCTTTCCCGCTGTGCAGAAGGCCACAAAATTCGTGACAACTATGATTACAGTTTGTACATTGCATCCCACTAGATTCAATCTACGAACAGCTATACAGGGCAAAATAAAAGTTTGGTCATCTTCACCCAGGCAACATGTAAATGAGCAACCTAAAAGTATCATTACCAATCCTTTGAACCATCTAGTCTCCTCTCCAACTCCAAGATTAGTCTAAAGTGAATTAATTTCCAAGTCTTAAATAGAAGCATATCTTTCTCGATCATTTCTATTCTCAGCACTCTGAGTCACTACACAATCACCAAAGGATTAGGAGTCTCAACATACTAACTTAAAAGTGTCTGTGTATTAAATATAAATAGATTTCAAAGCTGAAGTTCAAATACAGTGATGGGGCCACACAAGCACTGGGATTTTTAAACCTATTTTTCCATTTGTGGGCCCCTACATTTCAAAGCTGAAGTTCAAATACAGTGATGGGGCCACACAAGCACTGGGATTTTTAAACCTATTTTTCCATTTGTGGGCCCCTACATTTTTTTGATTGGAAGTACTGACCCCATTTGGAAATCTTAGGCATAGTCTGTGGATCCCCGGTGGTCTGCTGACCATAGGCTGAAAACCAAAGGTTAGCCTAGGAAAGTACAATAAAATAGTAGCTTACTAAATTAACTTCACATACCTTCATTTAACAACAAAAGT